CGGAGACTCGCGTGATCACTCCGTACTTTAAATTCCTTACCTTCCAGGTACGCAGAAAACTTTTGCACGAAGATCACTACCGCTAGCAGTTCTTTCTGAGTGGTACCGTAATTCATCTGCGATTTTGACAGCTTCTGACTCCCATACGCGATCACTTTCTCCACGCCACCCTGAACCTGTAGCAGCACGGCGCCCGCCTGGGTGTCAGAACAATCACAATCAAGAATAAAAGGACCTGCGTCTCGGCTGAAATCGGGCAGCGTCAGCACTGGGGCTTCACTGAGGGCTTTGCGAAGCCGGTCGAACGAGAACTGCGCCTCCTCTGACCACTGGAACTTCACGTCTTTCTGCAACAGCTTGAAGAGCGGTGCAGAGATGCTCGCAAAATTTTTGACAAATTTGCGCATGTAACCAGCCAGCCCTAGGAATGAGGAGAGCTGCTTGGCTGTCCGCGGAATCGGCCAGTCGCGCACTTTGCTCACACGGTCGGGGTCGAGAGACAAGCCACTCTCATCCACCACATGTCCCAAGAATTTGACACTCGAACGGAACAGGGAGCACTTTTCCAGATTGATCGTGAGACCGGCTCGGTGGAGCCTGTCTAGAACTAGCTCGAGCTTCTCAAGTGTCTCCTCGAACGTCTTACCACCCAAACAAACATCATCAAAGTAGGAATGACACGTGCCCTTGGGAAGATCGCGCGAAACAATATCGAGCATGCGGGCGCAGCTAGCCGCGGCACCATTGAGTCCCATCGGGAGCCGAAGGTGCTGCCAAGCGCCGAACGGGGTGACGATAGTCGTTTTAGGACGATCCTCTTCTCTCACACCGATTTGAAAATAACACATGCGTAGATCAAGCACACAGAACATTGAATTTCCACCCAGGGAATCTAGAATCGTATCTATTCTGGGGACAGGATAAGCAGGCATCTTAGTCACAGCGTTAACCTTTCGGAGGTCAGCACAGATCCGGACTCGTCCATCTTTCTTTGCGACAAAGCATGCAGGACTACTCCAATATCCATTCGACTCTTCCAGAACCCCTAGATCCACCAAGCGTTGTATCTCGGCCCTTACCTTATCCTCCAGGAATGGTGGGACGCGATGGGGTGCTGAACGTATCGGCGGACTGTCACCTGTGTCGATGTGATGCTCCACCGCGGATGTGAAGCCCAACCGACCATCAAACATGTCACTATATTTGGTCAGCAGCTCGGTCACCTTCTCCTTCTGCTCCTTACTGAGGTCTGTGTCTGACAGGTCTATCTTTTCACGCCAATTGGGATCTGCGTCACCTGAAGGGACTGGAAACTCAGCCACGCCCACTTCCAGTCTACCGATCTCCGCACGCTTTGGGATCGTGACCGGCTCAGTTGTAATGTTTCTCACAAGGCACGGAACACTCTGACCGTTTACCTGCACCATGGAAGGGACCAACTCGAGTCCCGGGACTTCAAGCAGTGGCTCGCAAAGTGCTGGCCCTCTGAAGTCGACGTTTGGAACAAAACCTGGAAAGAAAACCTCGTGTCCGGCCGGAACCGCGATGTCTCTCTGACAAATCACCTTACCCACCGAGAAGACTGAAGCGGAGATGGTTCTGACCATTTTCGCAGAGCTGAGGATCAGCTGACTCTTGGTGAGATCCAGAACACACGGGCACACGCCAAAGAACTCCAATCCCAACAAAACAGTGCAGTCAATCTGATCCGAAACATAGAATGGAACCACCACTACTTCTCCAGCAACTTTAACGGCAATCTGTGTACGACCGATCAGTGGTAGGGGGTCCCTGCTAACCGTGTGTGCCACTGTGGCCGTAGTGAAAAGGGGAGGGGCCTTGGGGAGCACATCAAAAACGGATTTGTGAATGATATTAATGCTGCTGCCGGTGTCCAGCGTCACTGAACACGTCACACCTCCCACATCAGCGTTAAATGTCATGTCAGCATTCAAGTGGACTGTCCTCTCATCTGCTCGGGCTGCAACGACTGGGCCATCCGGGGCGGCTGCAACGGCTGCGGCCGCTGGTCCTGTGGTCTGGCATCCCACTGATGTGGACCTGGTCCCCGCTGGAACCCTGAGACTGGGGTCCGCTGCTGCTCGGGTCTGGGGTCGGGGCCGGGCCCAGCCCGCTGGGGGTTTACCTGCTGCGTGCACATCCGGGCCAAGTGTCCTTTGGTCCCACACACATGACACGGCAGGTGCCTTTGCCGACACCGCGCCTGGTTGTGACCGGGCCTCCCACAACAGAAGCAAGTACGGCCGCTGCTGGACACTGGGGGAGAACGAGCGCTTACCTGCGGACGCTCCAGTCGCGAGAGTTTCAACTCCAGCTCCTGAACTTTCCGACGAAGTAGGTCTGTCTCGTCTGTGGCCGCTACCTGCCGAACCGTCTGGCTCGCTGCCACCTTCGCGGCGCATGAGAGGTTTCTCACCTTTGCCACCGCACTGTCGAACGTCTGGATGCCCTCGCCTATTAGCGCTTGTTGATATGTCGGTGGCAGTGATTGGAGGAAGTAATTGTACAGCAAGGGGTCATGATCGGTATGTCGGGTGTCGGGAAATGCGCGACTGACTAGCCCTCGAAGCTTCACCACAAAAGCATCAAGGCTGTCATCTGTTGTGAGTCTCAAAGACCGGAGCTGGACCTGTGCCTCGACTTTGTCGCCGGAGGGGAAAGCCAGTTCCAATCTCTTGCACGCGTCGCCTACCTTCTTCTTGCACTCGGTCGGGAAGGCATCATAGGCGTCCCTCGCAATTCCGGACAAGCACAGAGGCAGCAGAGCTACTTTTTTATCGTCATCCCATCCTTGTAGGACTGCAAACGTGTCAAAGTCCGCGATGAAACGAGAGACACTGCCCTTACCGGCGAAAGACGGCAGACCGACCGATAGTGACTGCGTCGCCATGCTGAATGTCAAATTTGGCACACTTCCAACGGAAAAAAAAATCGGTGATGTAAGGGGAACCGCAGAGTCGTTAATACGGAGAGTAATTCAACAAGTTACGCTAAAATTAAATGCTCAAATTACTGCGAGAAAGGCGATGGAAAGGACGTTTTACAATGGAAAAAGAAATCGTAGAGCCAGCATTACCTCGTTACAGTGAGACCGCAACACTTTACCAGCAACCAACATCACACCTTCCCAAACCAAGCACATACATGACACACAGTATCAATGAAACACCCTTGTCACCACTCATATCCCCAACCACCAAATGTTTATGTCCACGTCAGCCCAGTTGGGCACACCTCAGCTTCAAATGTCCACGTGCGTCTTCATAAGGGGGGGGGGGTAGTGCGCGCATTGTCACCGGAGAATACCACGCACGGCGTCCTCGGCAGGGGGGGGAAGCACCTGAGTCTCCGGGGGGTCAGAAGGTGCTCGTGTCCGCAACAGGGGGGAGTGCACTCGTTCCAGTCTCCATCGGGAGTGGCCGGTAGTCCTCGGACCGCGAGGCAGGATTACCCGCTCCAACAATGGTCAAAGGGCGATCGCTTAGATCGGGTGACACAAACGTTCAGGCACATCCCGCTATCGGATTCAGGCACATCCCGCTATCGGATAAGTCCGAACTGGATAGGTCTCACCGGCGTGTAGACGCTGAGCAGTCAGCTGTCGCGCTCGGAGAATCTTATACTGACGCCAGATGTAGGCCGTCGCGCTCGGAGAATCCTACTGACGCCAGATGCAGGCCGTCAAGCTTAGGCCGTCGAGCTCAGAGCATCCCACCGCTGTCACCAGATGTAAGCGTCTAGCCCCGGCCGCTGGCGTCAGAGGCACACGCCGAACTCGGAGCCAACCAAGCGTGTATTCAGCACAAGCAGACAACAAACAAATTGAAACGCCCTAGAAAGAAAAGACAAACAACTGTCACAATCCCGACACATACAAAGCCGGCACGAAATATCAAAACCCGTTATTAGAGAATGTGAAGTAAAATAAACAGTAATTATCACGAAAGTTGAAACCCACCGTTCAAGCAGGCGCAATCCAAGCACATCTCGATCCTCGCCATGTCGCGGCGCACCGAATTCCCGCTCTGGACGCGACGGGGGCTCAACGGAAATTCGGCTGCTCTCTCATTGGTCAGAATAAGCGGTTACCTGATTGGCTCTCGCGTGGCGCGCAGCTACATCATTGGACGAAATCATTACAGGAAGTCTAAAACTCTTCGGATAAGAAATATGACACATAACTAAAGAAACATTGGTACCGATCAATATCAAATAATAAAATAGTCATTACAAATCAGTATCATAACTAAATAGCACTAAACACGCGACAACAAACCAAGGACATTATTGCAGCGCAGGACGAATTTAGAGTTGCCACTTTCACTTCTGGTAGGCCCAGTATCCGCTCGCATAACATGTAAGCGGAAATCCGCTTACACATAAGCCTTCCGCGGAGTCCAATGGTATGCATACGATGGAGGATGGCCACTTTTGATGTGAGGTTATATGCACTTTGTAAATCTAGAAACACCGCCAATGTATACTGGTGATAAAAGAATCCTTTCCGCACCTCGGATTCCAATCGAGTTAAATGGTCAGCTGTATTCCTTCCCTTCCGGAACGCACACTGGAATTCAGATAAGATACTGTTCTGTTCAACATACCAGGTAAGTCTCTTTGTCACCATCCGTTCCATGATCTTGCTAAAACAGGAGGTAAGCTGTATGGGTCGGTAGGATGCTGGCTCGTCTTTTGGCTTGCCCGGTTTAAGAATTGGTATTATAATAGAGTGTTTCCACTGTTGCGGTATTTCCTCAGCACACCATATGCAGTTTATCATGTTCAGCACATGTACCAATTGTTCCTGGGAGAGATGTTTGAAAAACGCATAATGGAGGTTATCAGGTCCCATTGAGGTATTTCCACTCTTAAAGATCGCTTCTTTTAACTCAGGCAGTGAGAATAAATCATTGTATACTTCCTCGTTCTGAGACACGAAAGAGGGAAGATGAGCGCTCATCTCCCTCTCGTGCTCGATAAACCTTGGTCTGTAGTGTAGGGAAGATGATAGATCAGAATAAAATTGTCCTAAAACATTTCCCACTTCCAGCTGGTCATCAATCACCTCGTCTCCAACCTTGAGCACGGGTAACGACTTCCTGTATCTTTCTTTGCGAGTAAATTTCCTTATTATTCCCCATAGTTGTTGCAGTGGTGTGTTCACATTGAACAGGTGTAAAAGTTTCTCCCACGACTCCTTTTTCGCTTGGCGAATAATTCTCCTGGCCCTAGCCTTGGCCTCCTTGTATGCCATTAGAAGTGCAGTGGTTCGATTACGTCGAAAACGGTTCAATGCCGTTTTTCTAGCACGGATTGCTTCCTTACAATCCTCATTCCACCATGGACAGCTATATTTGGGAGGACCTGTTTTCTGTGGAATAGTTTCACGTGCAGTCGACAGAAGTTTCTCCACCATAGTTTGATAGCTCGCATTCATGTCAGTCACATCAATGTTGTCAAAATTACACTGGTCAGTAAATTCACACCACTTGGCCTTATTTAAGTTCCATCCTGCAAATATGTCCCGCCCAGGCTCAATAAACGCAGATTGTAATTGTGCATCATAAGAAGCATATATGGGACAATGGTCACTGGCATGGAGATCTGAATCAGTCCTCCATTCCATATATTGTCCTATTTCACTGCTGGTGATAGTAATATCAATGTGTGACCAGAGTCCTGTGTACTCGTCCATGCGTGTGGGACAGCCATCATTCAGGAGGGTCAGAGCATTGTTCCTTATGATACTTTCAATTGAATTCCCTCTGGCATCACAGCGATCCGATCCCCACATATAATGTCTCGCATTAGCATCAGTGCAAATAATAAAAGGCTCGGGTAATTGCCCTACGAGATTGTCAATCTCAGTAGTTGTAACCTGTGGGTTAGGAGGTAAGTACAAGGAACAAACACATATACGTTGGCGACCCACTTTCACACAACACGCAATAGCTTGCAGTGCTGTAGTTAAAGGGACCTCATAATGTGGAAAAGAATTGCCAACATAGATACATACACCACCACAACGACTGTTGTAAGGTGAGTATCCGTTACACAGTGTATAGTTGGGAATACAAAAATCATATTCATCTGTGGAGAGGAAATGAGTCTCTTGAAGACAAATCACTTCACACGCTTTCTCAATAAGAAGAGGTTTAACTTCAGCCCATTTAGAAATTAAGCCTCGACAATTCCATTGCATAACATTCCATGCCATTTATCGGGGTTACATGAGCACAGTAAATACGTATTTAGCCGCTAATTCGAATTAGGAACGCATTACCGACTCATGTAGCCACCTGCTAGTACGAATCGGCGATCCGATCCGCGGTTACATGAGCAAAGCAAATACGTATCACGATCGGATTCACCGCTAATGCGAATCAGGAGCGTACTACCGACTCATGTATCCACCTGCTAATACGAATCGGCGGTCCGAACAAAATCCGCTGAGAAAGAGGCTTAGAAGCGAATAGGACCAAGATACGTATTACAGGAACTATTTGTTTGCAAAAAGAAACATTAAAATGCAAAATAATAGGTATTTTTTTCAATTTCTTCTTTTGAAATAATATTTAAAAAAATATGTCGGTATTTTGTCAAGTTTTCAACAATAAATATAGTGAAAACCAAATAGTAAATATCCACATAATTTCAGTTGAAACATTTTTCCGACAGCACTACAGACGAATCAAGAGAGGCAATTGCCCAATTAGTCAAAGCAAGACAACTTTATGTTCAACTTTTTTTTGTTAAGTTAATTGAGAATGTTTTGAGCAGATTAAATGCAAAAAAGACATAAGATAATAAATTTTTAATTTAGTCACCTCTATTGCTACGGAAGTGCGCCACATTTGTATGCTATTCCGTTTGTAATGCGCATCGGGCCGAGAGCCAAACTAGATCCGTTTGACGTCACTGATACGAATTTGCTCATGTAGTCGGTGCACTGAATGCGTTCTTGGGGAGCTGATGCGAATTAGCGATAGTGCGTATTTGGAACGGATCGCTCATGTAACCGAAACGTCCGAGGCACACGATTCGGGCCGTATTTCACAAGAACTATTCTTTGCTGACTGGAAGCGTCAAAATGCAAAATACTAAGCATTTTTTTATTGGCTGCCTCGTAGAAAATAACAAAAAAATGTTGGTATTTTGGTTTAGTCTTTGCATGTAAAATAAAATGAATGAAATATTTTGATAGATAATTTTTTTCTGACCACCCTGCTGTCGCTGCATGGCGAATCAGTGCCCACTGACTTAAAACAAGAAAACTTTGTTTTCATTTTTTGATTTCATGTTAATTTTAAATGTTTTTGAGCCTATCAAATGATATAATTATTTAAAATTTAGCTCAGTCGCCCCGGTAAATGCCGCAACTGCGCCATGACTGTACGCTAATCCTATTCCGTTTGTGATGCGAATTACCGGCCGTCGAGGAGTCAGCCCGGGTGAGCCAAACAAGATCCGTTTGACGTAGATAAAACGAATTAGTCTCATGTAACCGGTGCCGTAGATCCGTTTGTGGGGAGCTGATGCGCATTAGCGTAGTGCGTATTTGGAACGGATCGCTCATGTAACCCCGGTAATTGTTAGTACCTTGTTAGTTTCTTTTTTGTTTTGTTTTTTGTTGTTGTTGTTTTTTTTTTGTTTTTTTTTTGTTTGTTTTTTTTAAGTTAGGGTATGATCACACACAGGTGTGCTGTCTACGTTCCCTGTGCAGACTTGGGCGGATCCGTCCACGACTTCCGTGGCAGAGATGTGGATCTGTCTCTGCTCACTCCTGTCCTATCATTGGGTTTGGTAGGCCTGAGTATAGGGGGTGATGGGGAGATCTCATCTGAAAGCATGAGCTGTTTTTGTTTGTTTTTGTTTCCTCCTTTGTTGCTTTTGTCTTTCTTTGCGGGCTTAAATGGCCCAGCATCGTCTCCAGTGCCACTGCTCCCTTGCGGGGCTGTGGAACCATGGGATGAAGCACTGTTGCGGGGCTGAGTGGGTTTTCTTTTGTTTCCCTCAACCTCAGAAGGGAGAGAAGCGTCCAGGGCCTGAGTCAAATCGTCCATGTCATCCTCGTCACTTTGTCTGTTGTGAATACTGAGGGTCTCCATTGTGTTTTGCGACTCCTGACCATCACCATCTTTTCCACTTAGCCGTCCACCCAGAGTAGAGCCGTCACTACCACTGATCTGGCAGGTACTACTGGTTGAACGTTGCGTCAGCAGTCTTTCCAGCAGTGCCACCATTTCACTCATCTTTGACTCTAACTTTGTCACTTTTTCCTTTAGCTCATCATCATTGGCAGCACTGGGGGTACGGACTGTGTTGGCATATGACCGAAGTATTGGGGGAGGCTCATGCCTGTCATCATAGAGTTTTCGTGCAGCAGAGAAAGAGATCTCCTCCTCCACCTTGATCCGACAGATCTCTTTCTCCTTCATCCACCGATCACACACATGATCCTGGCAGGAGTGTTCCTTCCCGCAGTTAACACAGTGGGGAGCACAGCCACCCTCATGGGGTACCAGTCCACATCTCAGGCACACTTTGTTTTTTGTGCATCTCTCAGCTGTGTGGCCAAAAAGGCCACACTGATAGCACTGGAGAGGGTTAGGCACATGTCTGGTAATGTGGTATGTCACATAATCCAGTTTCATTTTAGAGGGGCACGTCGGCTTATCAAAAGTCAGGAGTACAGTCGCTGTAGGTACTACTTTACCATTGACCTTACGAGTGAATCTCTTGGCACCAGTGACGCCATGGTCACTCAACCAGCCGACAATCTCGTCCTCGCTCAGGTCCTCCAGGTCATAGGCACGGATTGTGCCTCGGGAAGAGTTGAGCCTCCTGTCCTTTACTACCTCACAAGTCTCACCAGCAAGTTGTTGAGTTTTCAGAAGTTTGTCTGTTTGGGTCTCATTCTTTGTTTTGACCAGAAGGGAACCATCGCTCAGAAAGTTTGCTTTCTCCAGTTTGCCACTGTTTCCCAGGACTCCATGGATCCCCATCTGCACCCATGGCCAGCCTCGAGACTTAAGGGTTTTGTCAGACACTAGGCTTATCCTCAAGTACGAGCCCTGACTAGTCTCATCTCTGTCAAAGAACGTCTCATCAGACCTCACTCGTTTTCCGGGCCGTAAATCCGGCCCAGGCCCCATCCTGGAGCATAACCTCCTCTACGAAAGCGATAAAAGCTTGACACCAAATCAGTAATATCAAAGGATACTCGGAAAATAACCAAGTGGAAAGTACAAAAACAACAAAAAACAAAATGTCTTCCACTGCCACGTGGCACGAGGCGAATATTCTTGCACGTCTGTCCCTCGCCAGATCTGAAACAAGTGCAACACTCGGGTACCTCGCGATCGGCACGGAGCCACACCACGGAGAGGAACCTACCCGCAGTGTCACCCAACACCTCCGCTGCGGCGGCCGTCTCCCCCACTCCGCCGGCGCCGCCCGCCGCTCCGACTTTGGCCTGGCTTTCGGCCCTGGAGCGTCTGGAGGTGCGCCTTCAGATCAGCGCGGTCACCGTCACCGTTCCGGCCGGTCCAGAGAGCGGCGGCGGGGCGGCCGGGGACGCGGAGCGGACGGCGGACCCGCTCCCGGCCGCGGCCGGCCACCACCCGGCGCCGGTACCGGGCCGGGTCCGCAGCAGCAGCGACTCGGGCCACCGGTACTGCCTGCACGGACAGCTGGTCTCTGTGCTGCCGTCAGTCCGACTGGACAGCGCTGCGCTCAAATCGGCCGCCCTGCCGACAGTGCCGGAGGTGCCCGTCCGACTCACCAGACCTTCAGCGGCCGCAGGTCAGTCGCGGCCGCCGCACGGCCAGCTCATACCGGCCACTGAGGAGGGCTTTTCCATAAATCTCTCAGTGCTAGTGATTTTGGCATTGGCATGGGGGCGGGTATTGGTACTCACTACTCACCCTGCTGGGGCCGGCTGTAGGGCGGGTAGGTCACGCTGTGCGCCGCCGTCAACAGGTGACTGAGCCGGTGTACCGATCCAGGACCTCAATTATGATTATAAGTAAAACGGGATGTAGGGATGAAGTCAGCTTGTGCTCAAGACTGACGTCATGACAATCGACACGTGAATATAACGGGCATGTTTGCTCCTTGCTGTCGTGCGGGCGTTCGAATCTCTCCCAGTTTGTTGGCCCGTGTCTCTCTCCCGTCCCCCGGGTCTCTCCGCCGGCTGACTCCGCTCTGTCTGTTCCAGCCGGCTCCCAGCTGCGCTCGCCGAGCCAGACGCAGCAGGTGATGTCGCCGTCGGTCGTGGTGCGCGACTGTGCGTCCATCCCGTGTCCAACGCCCCCCCCCCACACCGCGCGCTGCTGCCGGGCCCGCCGTCGTAGTTTTATGGCCTTGCGCCGTCAGTCGCCAGCTGGTGGTGGCGACCCGTGATCGCTCGCGTACGTTCGCCGGCGCGCCCATTGCAGAGAAGGGGTTCGCGCATGCCCATTGTAGAGGGGCGCGCCCCTTGCGGAGGCGGTACGCGCTACGCTGTAGACAGTAATGCTTGTTGGGTAGCCCCTTTGCACATTGTTTGTTCATGGATGTAAATACAAGTTACATGACTGATGAGTGTAATGCTTACATTTTTGAACTAAGAAATGCCACAGGGCAGGTTACCTTGGTGAGTTTCTGATATCAACATACTGAACATAAGAGCAGAATAATTATCCATAGAGCGTTAAGGATTTTAGCCACCGAATTCACCAGTCAGTAATTGCACATGGTGGCACCATGAGCATGAGTACCTCGCCTTGTCCGATCCTTTTCACAACTAGCAAGTAGAATGTGGGAAAAGGCAGGGAACTTCAAAGCATGCGCATATGTAGATAGCTGATGATTCTCTCTGTTCAAGCACGATCTGGCACTCTGCAGCCTGTTCTGTTCCACATGAGTTGCCGGGACAGCATCACACATGAATTTCTGCATGCTTCAAACAGAAGTTAGGTTAGGTTAGGTATATACGGAAAAGAAAGGTCCTGAGGGACCTGGGTGATTTCCGATCAGTGGCATTTCAATGTCTTCTTAGTTCCGTCTTGTTCTCGGTGACTTCGTTTCCTACTCGTCAAGCGTCTTCTTCACTGCCTTGGTCTCAGTTCGTAGACTCGGTGCGCCCAGAACTTGTCAAGTCGATTCTTGAAGGCGTTGACGCTTGGGGCAGATACAACGTCCGCTGGGAGTCCATTCCAGGCCGAGATGACGCGCGAACAGAAGGAGACTTGACGCAGCTGGGTGTTGACTCTGGGCTGTCTCAGTTTCAGACCGTGGTTCCTCGTTCTCTGGGACGGTTCTCGTTCCAGCAGGTCACCAGCTGTCACCTTCAGGCGTCCCGTCAACATCAGATACACTGTGATGACATCACCCCTCAGCCTCCTGTAGTACATGCTGGGGAGCTTCAGTTCCCTGAGCCTGTCCTGGTACTCGAGATGTCGCACGGAGTGGACGAACCTTGTCGCTCTCCTCTGCACCCTCTCCACGGCGTCTTGATCACCTCTGGACGTCGGTCCCCAGACTGAGTTGGCGTATTCTAGATGGGGCCTCACCATGGTCTTGAAGAGGATGGGCAGTGTAGTCTTGTCCAGTGACAGGAATGTGCGCTTGATGAGTCCAAGAATCCTGTTGGCGCGTCCCACTGCTGCTGCTGTCTGCTCATGGAACTTGAGGGTATCATCAACGAGCACCCCGAGGTCCTTCTCCTTCTTGACAACGGTCAGCTCAGTCTCGGCCATCCGGTACTCGAAACCAGGGTTTGTGCTCCCCAAGTGCATGACTTTGCACTTACTCCTGTTAAAGGGGAGCTGCCACACAGCTGACCAAGCCTCCAGTGCTGATATGTCGTCCTGGAGAAGACCTCTGTCAATGTCACTGGACACCCTCCTGTACACCTTGGCGTCATCTGCGAACAATGCCTTAATTTTCCTTAATACAGAAATGCCTTAATTTTCCTTAAAATATATTCATTTTCACACAAAGACAACAAAAATGTACATGCAGGTGGGTACTGTGGCAAGAAATTACATACAAATGTATTTTGCCATGTAGGTACCCTCCTTTCACATCACAATCATCAATCATAATTAAGAGCACCAAGACGTTCTTTGCGACTTGCGAGCCCAGCCGTGTCAGACCAGCTGATGCAGGGGCTCTGTCACAGGGGGCACAAGGCCCAGTGGTTATGTCACAGCACAATGTTGTACAACCTGCTATTCAAGAACACTTAAATCTTGAAAAACCTGTAGCTCTCTTGTCACCTCACTTTTCGCACTCTTGACAAATCACTAATCAGTCAGATCAAGACTGAAAATTGAAGAGGATAAGCTCTTTTGTGGGATGTACTTGCAGTTTCAATTCAATGACATAAATTACTCGAAATTACCAATTAAATTGTACTGTACCATGACGAATCTACCATTGAAAGAAAATTGTATCATGACCCTGCTATAAAAAAAACTGAAACAAGCTCCAATTGCATATGATAAATTTGGCGATGTTTATAAATCTTGCTGCCTTAGACAAGCAAATCTTCAATTTGTTTCAATTTCAGTCGAGTTCTTCACCAAAAATCCATCGTATATCGACAACCAATGCCTATCACCGAAATCTTGTAGAAATCCTCAATCCCGCAAAATTTCGCAAGGCCGCTCTTTGTTTACATTATAGTGATGGGCCAATCTGACCGCTCAAGTACTTGTTTTGCGGGAGTAAGTACATTTTTGTCGTTTTTCAAACGGCTATAACTTGCAAAGTATAGCATCAATAGGCATTTTATGTATATCGTTGAAATCGGCAGAGTCTGGAGACTTAACTGATAGGCAATACATTCCGATTCCTTTCAATTTTTAAACCCTGATAATCCCTTTAATATGGGTGTAATGCCTTTGTAGGTAATAGGTAGGAAAATATGGCAGTTATCAAGAACTATAAAATATAAGGACAAAATCAAATTTCCATAGAAAATATCCATGAAATATCTCATGTATTTGTGAAATTACGTGCTATTTTATCTTTTTTTGTATCAAAGATGAATTAATTTGAATGATCTTTATCATTGCAAAATTTCATTTCTTGTTTATGGTATATTAATCACGATTGTAAGCAAGCAAACAGGGCGCGAAAACAGAACGTGCGCAACATCTGTAAAAAGAGGGAGGCGCAGGGTATGTTTTTTGATATTTATGCTGTTTTTCGAGCTGTTCATCGTTTTGTTACATTTCTAAAATCAATATAATAATTCCAGTCTTATTGCGATTGGTCGGTACTATGGCATCTAGGCTTACAAGTTACATTGGGTCAGATTTTTCTGCAAACAACCCTGCTCGCTCGCATGTTGAGTTTACAAATTGACAAGTTCAAACAGATGCAATAGGATTTGCTTTCCTTCAGTTTTCTTTTGATTGGTAGACACAAGGCTATACCTATAATTCAGTAGAAATTTACTTTTGTGTATGCTGTAGGTGTGATGTAGCATTGATGGAACTTAAATTTATGGCAAATGCACATGATCAACAATATCCAGGGCCTTATTCAATGCTCAAGTTTCTGCGGCTCCTGTGGAAAAAAGGCAGGGCTTAGATGGCAGCTGATCAGGTGACGCACAGACAGCAGTTCCCTCAGTCCTGATTGGTCGTTAGATAAGCCGGCCTTAATGACGGACGCCGGTGAAAACGGCGCCGCAGGGTGCATGTAGTCACGTGGCTATTTAGAAGTTCTCCCCCTTTGTACGCCTTACACACGCTGGTTGTCATGTGATCTGTGCAAATGAATTTCAAGAGCCTTGATCAAATTGCCCCGGGCACCCTGTTTTCACCATCATCCTTTATGACCCTGGGAATCGTGGCGGCTTCAGAGTTCAGACACTTGTACAGGGCGATTGTCAAGCATGATAGATAAATGTGCAATATACTGCAAGTCTGCAATGCAACCGCACTTAGCTCAGTGCTGTCAAATCCTTACTATGGTATAAGATACAGT